TTTGATGAACCCAATTCAACACAACAAGAATTATCTCAAAATTTCTTCCACAACTCTAAAATCGCAAATTACAAACACGATAATAATAGCGAAATTTCAAGAGCAAATTGTCAACAACTTTCAAAATATTTTCTAATCAACTTATGTTTTGATTCATGATGTCTTATAAATTGGAATGATAGGCCATCACCGAATCTACCTCTCTACAAATTTTCAAAAGATTCTATTTTGTTGTTTTATAGAAATCTACTAGTGAAGTTTGACTAAATTTTAATGTGTATAATAGTGTATAAAATCAAAATATTATTGTATTTGAGCGTTTAAATATATCTTATAATTTTGTATAATCTTGTATATTGGTACTTGGTAGTCTAATATTGTACGTCAAGTTTTAAAATATTTTTCTAAAAAGATGAAATGAATGTCTTGTATATTATTGTATACCGACTATATATTGCTTTACACCGAATTGTGCTTAGTATATTATTGTATATTTGGATATATATTTTATACACCGAATTGTATTTTGTATATTATATATATTTAATATATATTGCTATATATACCATATATATATGTCAAAAAAAAATTAAAAAATGTATAACTTGACTAATAAGTTTATATTTTATAAGAATAAAGCACCCATCATTTTAAAATTTAGAAAAAAATTATTCATTCTCAATGTGAAGTGATTGTATGTATCATGTGAAAGAATCGTATTAAAGAATAACTAGTTACTATTATTCATTATTATTGACTAGTCGATCTTTATAAAATTATGTATATGAAAATTTGTAATCACAAATATTTAATTATAAAAGCAACATGGAGATATGTGATATATTAATACAACACTTTAAAATATTCTTGTATCTTGTTTATGAACTATAGTTTACTCATTTGGTAAAATTATTTAAGATTGAAAAACTTTTAATAATTTTCATAATTTGTAAGATTTTTGTATTTATAAGAAAAAATACAACATTATTTATAGCCCTGCTAAAAGGGTTGATGAGTATAGTGGACCTGCAAATCAGGTCTTGGTTGAGGCAGATCGACGCAGAAATATAAGTGGCTACCTCAAATCCAGCCAATCTGCTATACATGGTCCCGCCTTTAGTTATCAATTCTGTGCGTCTTTATATAATCAATCTTACTTTGGCTCGATTGGTACGAGAGATAAATCATACATTAATTAATTTTAAAATAACTTATTTCTCAAAGTTCATAATATATTTCCTTTGGAATTCACTAAAGAAAAAGTGTCTTCATATAAATAAAACACAAAACGTACTACAAGACTATTCTTTTTTTCTTTTTTTTTTTGGCCCATGACAATTAAGAAAATGAATTATGTGGGAAAAAATAAAAAAGGAGGATGAGAGATTTGAATATCTAGTGGTGGATATAAAAGAATACTTTTGTGTAGACTTCCAATATTGATATCCTTAGTCGCTATCATCATCTTTATAAGTTTTTAGATTCTTCTATTTTTATTTGTTCGTTATATTAAAAATAAATATTTATTTTTATTTATCCGATTTAATAAATTAAAAGATAATTTGTCTATTTTACTTTGTTACCAACTATTATTCATTTTTTGACATTTAGTTAACTTATAAATTACTCTACTTCGAACATGTTAAGTCAAATATGAACAACTAAATATGAACGAGTCTCCTTCAATGGCATTTATGGATTGGGCAATGAACTTGTTAAAATATAGTATATGTTCCCTAAATTTCAAATGTTTGTATTAGGAGCTGGATGGTCTAAATTTCACATAAATTGTCATTATCCTTTGCATGGTCCCTAATTATTTTAGGTAGATTTTGTTGAATAATATTTGTTCCAGGCATGTAGCACGAAACTTCCAAGTTTTTGTAGTGAAAGCTGGATGGTCCACACATTATCGACGTCTATTTTAAACTTTGCAAACTCCATTTTTGAATATTTTTTTTAAAAAAAGAGTGTTTGTTTTTATATTCTCTCTGTTTCATTTTGTTTGACATTATTTTTTTATTAAACTGTTAAAAAACAATGATATAATTTTCAATAGAGATATTACTCCTTCTGTCCATAATTACTTGTCCACTTTTGAATTGACACATCTATTAAACAAAACAATTATTGACATAGTGAGTTTACCATTTTACCCCTATTAATTATGAAATGAATGAATTAAAAAACTTAAGATTTTCAAGAAGTTCTACCTTTTTCAAAGTAATTAATTGAGGGTATAATAGGTTAAATTTTTTTTTTGTCCTTTCTTGATTTATCAAAATGAACAAGTAATTAGGAACAACTAAAAAAGGAAAAGTGGACAAGTAATTAGGGACATATGGAGTATTTTATAGCTACACAAAATAATACTCCATATGTCTCTAATTACTTGTCCACTTTTGAATTGACACACTTATTAAGAAAACAATAATTGACATAGCGAGTTTACCATTTTACCCCTATTAATTATGAATTATATGAATTAAAAACTTAAGATTTTCAAGAAGTTCTACATTTTTCAAAATAATTAATTGAGGGTATAATATGTAAAACAAAATTGTATTTCCCTGATTTGTCAAAATAGACAAATAATTAGGGACAACTAAAAAAGTAAAAATGGACAAGTAATTAGAAACAGAGGGAGTATGTAGTATTTATGTCCAAAGCTTTCAAAAGTTCTATAACGGACCACAAAAATTTATGATATATTTAATACCATAAATTTCAAAAATTCTTATTGTCTACATTAAAATTTATGTCAGATCAAAATAAGTTTTACAAAGTAAAACGGAGAGAGTAATATTTGTCCAAGAAAAGTAAGTAATTTTAAAGTTTTCCCACAACTCCAACAAAATTGAGTTTTAAAATATTATTGGAAAAATAGCTGAAACCAATAATTTTTTTGCAAATTCAAACTCAGTTTTTTGCAAACTTTTGAAGCAAACAGCACTAAACAACTCAAGGTTTCACATTGTCTTTTGGTGATACAACAATACAAGGTCCCTACTTGCATTAGCTAAAATCTCTTTAATTTTATTTGTTGTCGTTGAACATAATGTCATACAGTCCTAAATTCAATTGAAAAAAAAAACAAAGCAGTCAAAGAAAAGACGTGTCCCATGCCCCATTTCTTTAATATTTTCATTGTAGTCAAGACAATCATATTAAATGCATGTAAAGCAAATTCTGTTGTGGCTTTTAAGAACCCAAAGGGTCACAACTATTGATGAAGCAATAAACTACCCAACTACTTTTCTAAGTTTCAATTGCAAGTTTATCATATCAACAAGTAAAACCAATCCGCAGTTGTAAATTCATTACATCATATAATTTATTTTTTCTCATCAGGTATCCGATTAAATTCACATATTTGAGTAAAAAATTCTCATATTGGTGAAGAAGCACTCCCTGCCGAAATTATTTCAATTTTCATACCTAAAGGCTATATGTCTCAAACTCGAAACTTTTTCTTGTGTTTGGTATATAAGTAAAAATATTACCCTAAAACACGCATTGAAAAATAATCTAGACAAATAATATGGGATGGATGTGAGGTAGTAGGGATGGGGATTATGAGGATAAGGGTTCAGATGAAGTGTGCTGGAGGGTAGAGATGATACAATCAATATGGAATGCCATTTTCCAAACTTAATTTTCATACTTCCATTAACTTATGTTCCTTCTTCTTCTTTTTTTGTTTAAGTGATTTATATTCTCTAAAAAATTTGACCAACTAAACGTGAGAAAATATCTCCGTACCAAATTATACATAATGTGTCTCGTACAAAAGATAAATTCTGAAGTCCTTTCGTTCAAAGAGGTAATGTAGTTGGACCTATTTACTTTCCTGATCTCTAGCCTGATAAGTGATAAGTTAATGCAATTGTAATTAAATTTCTCTTCACCTAATCTCAACTTATATATCTCATCCCTAGGTCTTTATTTTATGTGTCATTATTTGATTGGAGATGAATTTAACATTTTGATAAGTAGTGACAATATAAAATGAAATAAAACAATTTCTAGAAGTAAAAATAGGACAAGCATAGTGAAGTTTGAAAAAGCAAAACAGGAAAATGAAGATTGGAGTAGGGAATGGCCACCCCACCATTGCACAAACTGGTAGACAAGAAAGTAAGGTAACCTAAATTCTACATAGTAGAAGAGTAGAGTGCACAAGTTGACGTCTATACATAATAATGTGGTGGATAAGGGAATTAGCAATAGCATAAAGGACAGGGCTGCTTTCCATTGTTTTCGTCAGCTCATTGGCATTATCTTAAATTTGTAATGTAAATCATATCTGTTTTATTTTTCACGTTAGTATTAGATTGAACACAAAATTTAATAAAGATAGAGATTTTTATTACATACCAAATATACCCCGGAATTTATGATCTTAGACATGTTATGATATTTATGTAACTATAAGGGTAAATATAGGAGGAAAAGTCTTTGGACCTTTATAGATTGAAGATCTTGTTCTCATACCAAAAAACATAACAACAATATTCTCAGTGCAGTCATTAAGGAGTTTTGTTTAGGGGGGAGAGATTATTTTTTTTTATATTAACTTTTTTCAATATGTAAGTCATTTGTTCTCATACCAAAAAACATAACAACAATATTCTCAGTGCAGTCATTAAGGAGTTTTGTTTAGGGGGGAGAGATTATTTTTTTTTATATTAACTTTTTTCAATATGTAAGTCATTTGTTCTCATACCAAAAAACATAACAACAATATTCTCAGTGCAGTCATTAAGGAGTTTTGTTTAGGGGGGAGAGATTTTTTTTTTTTATATCAACTTTTTTCAATATGTAAGTCATTTGATCAAACAATATTGAATATTATGCTTCTTTAATTGTAATTTATTTTTCAAAGTTAAAATTTATTAACTTCAATATATCGCCTTGAAATCGAAACAAGAAAGGTGGCGTGAATCCAAGTATATATAATGTCAAAGCATGTTTAGACCCATAGTTGGATATATGAAAGCATGTTTTAAACCCATAGTTGGACAAGGAATAACAAATGAATCAAATAGGTCCCCATTTTTTTAAATTTTGTTCCGTACCTTAGCGCAACCGTACTTTTACACTTTCAAGTTTATAAATTCCTACCCACCTATCACCTTTTGTTTCCTCACAACTCAACAAATATCCAACATCTCCTTCCCCATTTTTCTCGTAAACAAGCTTTCCATTATTTCTGTTCAATATACTTATAAAATTGAATACTTAGTAATTATGGAGCATTATGCACCCTACCGTATTGCGGACTCATCATCTCTAGGATTTCCTCTGGGCACTGCCTTTCTTTTGGTTGCTGTTTTCACTCTGAGTGGCATAATTTCTTGCTGCTATCACTGGCACAGAATCCGATTGCTTCGTCGACGCGCAGACCTTGAAGCCGGTGATGATCCTTCTTCCTTCAAATATAAACTCAATTATAATATGGTAAGGAATTTACTCATATCATGTTTACTTGTTATGACAAGTTACGTGTTTTATTTTTAAGATTATGAGATGGGTGGACTCCTTATAAGGTTTGGGTAATCCTCCTCTCTTTGAGCTAGCTTTTGGGGTGTGAGTTAGGCCTAAGACCTAATTTAACATGGTATCAGAGCAGGGTCCGTCTCACCCGATGTTGGGGCCCCCAAAATCAAAAATTGTCCACGCACCAGATGCTAAGCACTGGGCGTGAGGTGGGGTGTTAAAGAATGACAAAAGTCCCACATCGGTGGTTAATGAGATGGGTGGACTCCTTATAAGATTTGGGCAATCCTCCTTCCTTTGAGCTAGCTTTTGGGGTGTAAGTTAGGCCCAAGACCTAATTTAACAATTACATATTTCCTATAGATACTTTTACATGATTTCAAATGTTATTTATGGTGTCGGTGTATGTTAGTTAAACTCTAATTTAACTATTTAAGACCTATTTTTTAAGTCGTTGTGTAATCTCTTTTTTCCTTAAATCTAATTACCTGGAAATGCTGTTTGTTCATGTTTGATGGTGATGATTAAACTTTACACTATTCAATTATGTACTTTACCCGAGTTTAGTGCAAAAATAAAGTTGAGTTTTTTGGAGGTACAAAAAATTCATACTTCTTTTCTTTTCTTTTCTTTGGTTTCCCTTTCGGTGTCCGGAGCCCACATTGGGATCGCGTACTGTAGAGCCCATTTGGGGTGGCGCTCCCAACATAATTTTCTCCATATCCAGGGCTCAAACCCGAGACCAATGCACCACAACCCATGTTGGTTGAATAACATGTTATGTGACATATTCATCTAACTAGACACTAATGTCTAATTTATTTGTTTTGTCAAAAAATGACACTGTTTTTTCTCTGTTTTGCAGAGTGAGAAGCAGAACCAAAGCCAAAGCATGCCTGCAGTGTTAATGCCAGGTGATGAAGTTCCAAAATTCATAGCATTGCCATGTCCATGTCAGCCTCCCCGACCGGAAAAGGTGGCTGAAGAGGTGCAGCTGCCGCCTTCCCCTTCGCCTCCGCCTCCGCCTCCGCCTCCGCCTCCGCCTCCTAAGCCAATTCGTATGGTAGTCGGATTACTTTTGTAGCTGTGATTTTAGAACATTGGTGTGGTGTGTATAGATTGAATTGTGGTTCAACCAAATTACCAAGTTTTTTATTTGTAATTAAGGCCATGTGTTTAATGCCTGAGGCTGCTAAAGTGATTTGTTCAGTGCAAGCTTAACTAAAACTTCCCAAAATCACAACTAAAATTTTTGCACATGAGTGAGGTTGGTAAGTTCAACGTATTTGACTTGTACGTTTAGGTTCAGGACCAAAAGTCTACATTTCTTTTGTAACATTAAATACTAAATTCAAAAATTGTACATCAAGGATTAAAATATCCTACTCTCAAAAATTGTAAGTTTGGAATCCTTGACAAACAAATTAGTTTGGTCGTATTAATTTATGTATTGAACATTAAATTCAAAAATGAAATTTGTGATTTAAAACAAGTCATATATTATAGTAAGATGTCAACTTTTGTATGACTGACTTAAAAAAAAATACCACATAAATTAAGTTAGCATTTTGCCATAGATTCTCAAAAAAATAATTAGAAAATTACAACACAATATTTTAATAAAAACTACTAACAACGCAATCACTAGCTACTACAATTCATCAAATTACAAGTAGCCAGTCACGAAGATTCATAAATTAATAAAAGAAGAAACTATTCTTTAATATAATGTTTCCACATTCTGCGAACTATTTATTCCACGACAAGCATACATTTCGTGATCAGATGACCAAAGGGGTCCTAAAATTGAAGAAGTATTATAATACTGTAAAAGCAAATCAAATAATCTTCTTTTTGTATCTCAAGAAGACAAAGGAACTCCAAAATAGAGTTTTTCACCATGTACTCTACAGGGTCCCTACTTGGGTAGAATTTTGTCGATGAACATATAATATCATATGTGAAAAGACGTGTTCCATGTCCCAGTTATTTAATATTTTCACATGTTAGAGGGGAACACTAAATTAAATGTCACCAATTTCTGTTGCGTCCTTTACGTACCCAAAGGGTCACAAATTTTCAAGGAGACGTAAAATATCTTTTCTCTTCCTTTTTTTATTTGTTTACTTTGCTTTAGTTTATTTACACTATTTTATTTCCTCTTTAGTTGCTTTGAAGACAGAATAACACATTTTATATTATTTTACCTTAATGAAGAGTGATAAATATTATGACATGTTTAAATCATAAATTTCATTTATTTTATCACTATATAAATATTATGACATGTTTAAAACTCAAATAAGTCATTTTAAGTCTTAATTACAATTATTTAGGGTACTTATACTTGATAGTATCAAAATATAACAATACTTTAGCAATTCTAGCCAAATAATAGGAAGTGTAAGAGATTAGGTTCCACAGTTTCACTATTCCCTTTTCTCTCTCACACACACAAACAAACACACCCAAAGTTTCAATCTCCATTAAAGATTCTATTGACAACCATTAAAAGGTTTCAAGACTTTTGATTCGAAAATTTGATTATGCGAAATTGTTATTTATATGAATTGAGTGTTGTTGCAAATGATTGAGATCTTTCAATTTTGAGATAGTTTGGTAAAGATTAGAGTAATTCATAGAAATTTCAGACGGAATCTCGAGAGTAAGACGAACAATAAATTATATGTATTTTGTATATCGGGTGTATATTGTTTGTATGTCCAATATATTATCTACATGACATGCAAACAAACAAAATATATTCAATAACATAATTGTATGTTTTTCTATAAGCAATTATATATTTTTACCAAATCATATATTTTGTAAAAAAAATTTACAAAAACTTAATTTTTGAAAAACAACTCTTTCACTATAAATCAAATAATCAGGTCTCTAATTTTATATCTCCGGGTGCGTGTCCCCAAATAATCTCCATCATTTTACTTAAATTACATGCTAAATCAAACTATATTACTACATAAATAAAAGGGAATTATACCTTAACGAGTCACATGAGTTTTTCAACTACAAGTTAATCATGTTTGAAAGCATAATCAATTATTTGCGATGGATATTACATCAAATTTTACCTGCCACATGTTTAACTAGTGTTATGCTATTGTCGTTGCACGATCTTACAACATATTATGAAAAAAAATACGCCTAAATAGTCATACGGTCACAACAATCACTTCAATTTAGTCCAAAGCACATACACTATTCGTTTGTTTAACTTCACTTTTGAGTTGCTCAGAATTTGTTCTTTTCAATTTAATCGAAATCACATATAAATCTGACGTTTGACCAGATTTACTATGGCTCACTTAGGGCTAGAAAGATAGGATTCTTCATACAAAGCCAATTGGGAACCTTCTTTCCAAACTCGCTCGACACACAAAAGAAAAGACAAAAGACGAGAATCGGCGCAAGGATCAAAACACTTAATAGCGCATTGTAATAAATACTAGATAGGCAATAGGTAGAATAACCTTTTTTGGGAAACTTTCGCAAATAGTCATTATAATAAACTTAATTATGCTTCATAACTATAGTTTGCATATTTACGGATTGTAGCTATAGTTTAAGCTGTCTCGTTTGTATAATTCGTAGCTTAGTATAATTCGCGAGTACATTTGTATAATTCAACTATTTTTGTATAAACTCGAAATAATGAATTTATGCTAACACAAACAGTTGAACTTTAAACATTTATACAGATTATATATTACAAATTACATTATACAAAAGATATATATATATATATATAAATTGTTGGGTATGTAGCAAGAGTAATGGGAAATGGAGGGAAGATGAACAGAGAGGAACTTGAAAAGTTCAAAACTTGAAAAGTCCTCTTATGCTTTATTGAAAAGGCATTTGTCCCTCATCGGTGGTGGAAAGAAAAATAGGAGAGTTTAAATATAGAAACACTCTTATTAATTGTTAAAAGGGTTGGAAAGAGAGACCCCCCTCGCGCCGTCGTTGTCGTCGCTCGCTCGGCTTCGGCTTTGGAAAATGATCAAGAGATTATTTTTTGGACAAAGTTTGTTTTAATTAATTTAGTTAATTATTTATTTAATTAATTAAATTAAATTAAATGGCCAACGTTTTAATTAGTTAATTAACCGAAGCATTTCAATTAATTAGTTAATTGACCCGACCCGACCCAACTCGAATCCACGCGCGGGCGGAGGCGGACAATGAAAAGACAGAAAGGAGCGAATGATGCCAACCAACTCGACAAAGACATTCAGATATGAAAAAGATACCCGTTTTATTTAAATCTTTCCCGTTTTATTTGAATTTCCCACCGATGGAAGTGACTGTTCTGAAAGGTTGCTCATTTTATTTGAATTTCCCGCCGTTGGAAGTGACTGTTCTGAAAGGTTGCAACTTTCAGAAACAACCATGACCGTTTGAAAGTTTGCAAACTTTCATGAATGGTCGTGTGGATTCTGAAAGGATTGCAACCTTTCGGAACCAGTTCCTCTTGCCTATAAATACATTGATTCCTCAGACTTATTCCTTACGAATTTTCTGATTTCTTCTTCTTCTTCTGCACAAAATTTCTTCGTGTACTTTACTGTTGTTGAGTGGTTCGCTGACACCAGAGTTTTGGGTATCAATACACTGGTGATTGAGATCATTCTATCCTGGGAGGACATATTCCAAATCCAACCTCGGATACTAGAGGGGAATAATTTCCTTAAGGGGACACTGTGCATTCAGTGGGCATAATTTTTTTCGAATTCTGTTTTTCTAGATTGTGGTACGTTTTTACAGATTTTAGTTTTGTCAATTAATTTATGTTCATCTATTCTTACTGGTTTATTAAACTTTGGTTACTTCGTGTTTCTGCAAAGTTTATTGAAATCAGTAATTCTGGTTTTTTAAACATAGATTGCTAACAATCTTAAGGAAATAATTTTATACTTTTTAATCTGTGTTTCTGGTGGAGGGAAAAACCTTCGTGGTTTTATGCTCTTGATTAAGTTTGCAATTTAAGTTATTGCTTACTGAGTCATTTGTATCAATTTCTGTTTGTTACAGATTCTGAAATGGCTAATGACAATGTTACGGTGGTTGTTGCTGCACCAACCCGAACTGTTGTACCACCAACAGAGAAATCGGGAAAATTCTCTAGTCTGAATTTCAAAGGATGGCAGCAACGGGTATTTTTCTAGCTTACCACTCTTGGTCTGCAGAAATTTACCAATGAAGGTACTCCAGTGTCTGCTGCTGAAATGCCAGATAGAGAAAAATTCATGATTATTGAAGCATGGAAACAGGCAGACTTCCTATGTAAGGGCTACATTTTGAGTGCTTTAGAGGATGACTTATATAATGTCTATAGTGCAATGACAACTTCGAAAGAATTGTGGGATGCACTTGAGAAGAAATATAAGACAGAAGATGCATGCTTGAAAAAGTTTGTAGTCGCAAAGTTTTTAGACTATAAAATGTCAGATAGTAAAACTGTTGGATCACAAGTGCAGGAACTTCAACTTATTTTCCATGATCTGATTGCTGAAGATATGGTAGTAAATGAAGCGCTTCAAGTGGCTGCAATGATCGAGAAGTTACCTCCTTCGTGGAACGACTTCAAGAATTATTTAAAGCACAAACGTAAGGAAATGAAGCTTGAAAAACTTGTGATTCGGCCCAAGAATGAGAAAGATAACAAAAAGGCCGAAAAGAAGTCTCATAAGAGTTTGGCAGTAATTGGAGTTAATATTGTTGAAGAAGCTCCTACCAAAGATAAGAAGAGAAAGAAGTCCAACGGACAGAAGTCAGAACAGGCCAAGAAAAAGTTCAAGGGCAACTGTTACAATTGTGGTAAGGCTGGTCATAAGTCTTCTGACTGTCGTGCTCCAAGAAAGGACAAAGACAAAGACAAAGGGAAAGGCAAAAGCCAAGCAAACATCGTGGAAGATATGGAAGATGCAGATGACCTTTGTGTAATGATCTCGGAGTGCAACTTAGTTGGAAATTCCAAGGAATAGTTTCTCGACTCAGGTGCCACTCAACATATTTGCTCTGCGAAAGAAGCCTTTGCAACATACACTCCTGCTAAGGTTGATGAAGATTTGTTCATGGAAAACACAGCTACAGCAAGGATTGCAGGAACTGGGAAAGTAATGTGAAGATGACATTCGGTAAGGAGTTGACTCTGAACAACGTTCTACACGTTCCTACTATTAGGAAGAATTTAGTTTCTGCTG